TGCGTGAAACTTTCTAATTTTGCACCATTACAGCACATATTTTGTACCACTTTTATACCCATAGTGAAAGGTTACTGAAGGGTATTCTAATTATGTTCATAAGGTAGTCGTTTAAGAGTAGTTGGAAGTCGAGATAGTTAATATAGCATATAAAACACTCAGTRTGAGAAGAAAAGTCGTTACTTGTATACTTACATACCTAATTATTACTTATRTCGCTCTTAGCTTTCGAAAACTTGGTGCATCCATGTGAGTTTAGAAGTACAAAAGTTCGTTGAAGCTATCCAAGCATGCTTAAGAGTTTGATTTTTATAACTTCATGGCGCGTTGTGTGATCGAAGCAGACATAGACCCGACCAAATTCGTTGAAGATGTCAAAACATTATCGAGAGATTGAGTTTTTATACCTTCATGAAGTTTGTTTTTGGTTGGAACAGACAGAGGTTTTGCCGTGTACTTATAGGTATAGGTGAAAATAGACCATGCATAACACATCTAGAATTTTCTACTTCATTCAGAACTTTTTAGATAAGTCACATCCTCATCTAAATAAAACCATAATTATACTCTACTACAAATGCCTCACCATAAAGGATCACGTGAAGACTTAAAACAAAGTYTTGAGGCACAATTCTGATTTCACTCCGTTAAATGCAATAGAAAATATAATAAAGATGACAGCTTTAAACAACTTTCATATGGCTATGTATATAAATATCGCTTTATATATTTCGCTTTACGCCCAAATTTATGCTTTCTTACTCTGCTTCACATCACTTAAACTACTTTCTGCTCCGCAAATGTTCGTCTAACGTCATCGCTACCGAGCGCAGGTAATTAAAGAACAGTGTGGCGATTACTCGAAATTTTTTTACAGCGCTGCCGCACCCTAAATGACAGAAGCATGGATTTTTCGGTGTGTTTGATTGTTTTGGTTTAGTAATTGTGCTCTAAGTGGCGGCATCGTGTGCTAAGCGTATTAGCTAGCGTTTATAGATGCCAATAAAAAATTGTGACTTTGTTGCAGCCTCATTACATAAAGAGCGTTGGTTGTTGTAGCAACTTTTTAACGACAATTAGCGGGGAAAAAAAGAATACAATGGGAAAAGATTTAGGAATACAAAAATTTAATAGCGGTTAGCAAAGGGTTAGAAGAGCGTCTTATTATGTCATTGTTAAGTGTATGTCGAGTGGGTTGGAAACCAGCAACTTATATTTGTAGGAGCGCTTATTTCAGGGCCGAAGTACTTAATCTAATTAATTGGGGTATGGCTTGCGAAACACAGCCTTMAGAAGGGTAAGTGATTCAATAGATTTCATGAAGATAAATTTAGTTTTAGCACGCTTTGATATTACTGTGAACGAAATAAGTACTTGTTTGTACTATTAATGCAATTGAGTAATATTTTACACCCAAAATATACTTTAACCTAAAAAAATGCTTAAAGCTAATCATGTGTGCATAAGAACTAGGATGAGTGCCTGGTCACAGCGGATTCATTGCAAACTGTAAAGTCGATTCCAATTCCATCAGGAGGTAAACGAGCAAGGGCTCCCTTGACTTCGTGCATTCGGACATTGGTTCTATATTCTTCTCTCAGTATGTGTTAGTGTACGATATGTGGGATTGTCTTCAGATGAAAAATGGAACGTAAAAAGTTCATTGAACTGCTAGCTTTTTCCAAGGCTCACATCACTAAAATGATAGGTGCCTTCATCGGGAACTTTCTCAATGGCACTCAGCTATAGGCTAAAGATTTTGGAGTTTAAAGCATCGTGGTTGTCATATCTTCTACGAAACCGGCGAATTGGCTAGAGTAGGCATTAGCTGCCACAATAATTTTTAGGGCTATAGACATTTTGTCGATATCCGACGGCCTATTGATTCATATTTTATAGTTCTGGGTMTCAAACGGGCAAGCTTCACTCTTTGTACAAGTGGGTTTATCCGTCGTCTAACGGGAAGTCAGTTAATTTACCAAACCTAGCTAACTCAAAAGAATAATTTACATAAATAAACATTTTTATTTAATAAAACCTTAATAAAAAACTAACATTATTTTTAATTTCTTTTTTAGAGTTGCCACCTTATTAAAATATATTATTTCATATAAGAAAACAATACATTTTATTTAATTAAATCTTAATAAAAACTGACACTGTATAGGAATTATTGTTCTTTTATTTTGAGTTGCCACTGTATTGAGAAAAAATAATATTTCTTATAAAGAATTAGAAATTCAATATGAATAATCGCACATAAAAAAAAAAATTATTTAATAAAAACTAACATTGTTTTGGAATTGTTTTTAGAGTTGTCACTTTGTTAGAAAAAAACTTTTCTCATAAACAAATTTATTTTGTTAAATAAAGCCTTAATATAAAACTGACATTCTTTTGGAATTATTATTTTTTRTTTAGAGTRGCAACCTTWTTTAAAATAACTATTTCTTTTATGTGTTTATTAATGTGCATAATCACAATATTAAATCTCATAATTAACTTTTGACCACAAAAACATTAGCATTTTTAGCTAAAACACACATGCAAGGCCACACAATGTTTCTGGTTTGTTTTGTGGCAACACTCAAACTACAAACCGCGAATTATAGTTAACCACACAAAGAAATTTTTCATGTGCGCCTCAATTGATACAATGGCAGATATTTTAATAACTCGAAAGGGCAGTTATTTAGACAGCTCCGGAATTTATATAACAAAAACAAAAAAAAGTAACAGGCAAAAAGTCAGCGGCAAAATGTTATAATCAACAATAATGCAGTGTTGCAATGTGGTGTGCAGCATAATTTTGTGGCATTTCAAAAATGTTGCCACTGCAGTTGAAGTCTGAAGAGTCACGTGATTATTTGCTTAGTTGTTATTGTTACTGTTGAGTTGCGCTTTTTTTGTTGGTGTGAATGGTGCTTGCGGGTTTATAAACTGCCTGTTTGTGCATTTGACAGCTGTCGTTATGGTTTGATATGCGCTATTTGAGTGAGTGCACGCGACTTGCATGTAAGTAGTTGTTGTTGTTGCTATTAATGCTAAATATAAATAGTTTTAGTTTTGGAAATCTATTTGCGCGCACCCACACACCGCTGATTATTTCAATATTTTATTTAGAAATGTGCATGTTGTTGTTTTKTTGTTGTATGCCACAACAGTTCGTGCCCGTGAAAATGTGTGACTAAACGTTCGCGTTTAGCTATAAATTAATGGCGAAAATTGCTGCTGGCAGTCAACAATAAACTTACACACAAAGACACAGGCAAGCACATACATACATATATATGCATTATATACACACAGGCGCATACATGTGGCATGCAACTGCACGTGTTATGTGCACAGTGTAATAACTTGAATTATTAAATTTACCACATGACACAGGCACACCTACACACTTACACATACTTGCAGCACTCACACACAACTACCAGCACGTGTTTGTTTGTGTGGCTCTGCATTCCTCTTTGTTGCCGCTGGCATTTGGCAACAAAATGTTCGTCACGCCGCTTCCACGTCACACGCTATTTTTATGCTGCGCCTTTCAGCTGCACTATATCTGAGTGAGTGTGTGTGCGTTTGCTACTTGCCACAATGGCCAAGAAGCAGCTACATTCAACATGCAACATGCCACATGCAATGTTTATTCTTGTATATGTCTTTCAAGTAATTTTTATTACAAAAATTTCTCTTTTATTTTCGGCATTCGCTTTCATGTCAGCCGTGCGCTGGCACATTTCGGCCTGTTCTTGCCGCTTTTGGCACTTCTCTCGCCAAACAGGCACGTTAATGCACATGTTTACATTGTTTTTGTTTCAACTTGTTGTTGTAATGTTTCCATTTCTTGATTTTTTGTCGTTTTAATTTTCTGCTAAGCAGCATTGTCGTCGCTTTCAGGCTTGAGTTGTTTGGAAAAACAAACAACAACTATGTGTAATTGAAAAGCGCAAAAAGTATTTTTTGGCAGGCGAGAAATATCGCTTTGACTTGTTTGGCAATGTCGTGTTTGAATTTAATTTTACTTAATTTAGCTACTTGAAAATCGCTGTCAGCAGTGTCTTATATCTCAACCATGTAATTACGTTTGATTGAATTTAATGGGAAAAGTTTTTCGGTTGCTGGTGGAATATTTATTGGCGCGTGAAAATTATTGCTGTCGTTCGAAGGGTGATGTTTAGTAAAGGAAATACGTGGGATGGTGCATACCACATATGAAAGAACTTATATACAATGAAAACTCCTGATTTGTTGTCGTAGGATTTAAATGTAATTACATTTTTTTCTCTCGAAATCTTTAATAACGGGTTTTTTCTTATGCTCAGATTTAAAGAATGCAACTATATTTCTCTGGGTTTTTTTGTGGAAGAGACTTTCAAACTGTCTTTCTTTTCATGTTCAAGGAACGATGAAAATAATTGA